CGCCAATGGCACGTCAAGGCGGGTGTTGTATTAACAATCAAAACAGAGGTGCTTTTTAGCGTGTTAGCAGCCGCAGCGCGCGATGAGGGCTCATTCGGCCGCGGACACGACGTCACGATCCCACACGTTCCATGCGCGTTTGCCTGCAGTAAGTCGACCACAGCGCGCCGGATTGTGCTCTTTTTGCAATCAAAGTACGGGCAGGTGGCTCTTGAGCTTGTCAGCATTTTCTCTTGAGTGTGACAGCATTGTTCATTCCTCATTCACGTAGGAAATGCTTGTATGTGGCTCGTTAGAGAGGGACATTAGATATTAGCTTGATGGCGTCAGGCTAGCTACACGGTGGCCGTGTTGCGTTTGTGCAGTCGTACGGCAGGATGCTGGTTCTTAGGCGTTATTTGGGCAGATGCCCGCAGCGAAATGTGTTTGTTTGAACCGCCATCACGACCCCGGGATGGTGGATTCAGATTGTTTGTGTTTGGCACGGAACGGGATTCAAATTACTGGCTTTCGAACTATTGTTTTTTGCATTTCGCATTTTGTGTTTCGAGCTAGATCTACCTGATATGGGTTAACACCGATGAGCCAAAAATGGCTACCAGGCTTATCGTGCGAACGCTTTTTTAGTCCTGTGATCTATGACGCTTTTCAATACAAACATCAGGACTGAAACGAAAACATGCTGTGTTTGTTTTCAACGTAACACGTTGAAAAATGTCACATGTCTAAATTGTCACATAAAAAATGTCACATAATGTCTAAATAAAAGATTACCCATAGTAGTATTCTCAAGACCACTATGAACCACTGACGTCAATACCCCGCATACCACCCGAGATGGTGTCCCAGTGCAACATCTGTCTCCAAGTTCACTGTCACAGTGCGCCTCCACAGCCCGTATCCCATTGCACTGTCCAGTCTGTGTCGCAGCACACCAGCACAGTTTGTGTCGCATTTGACCGGCCACGGTCCGTGTTACATGTAGCAGTACACCTCTGCAGTCTGTCACAGTGCACCGCCCAGTCCGCGTCACAGCACATCGCCACAGTCGGTGCCACGTTAGACCGTTACGGCCCGTGCTCCAGTGCAGCGTGACAGTCGGTGTGCCAGCCGGCCCGGCCGCGGCTGTGGTGTCCGGCGCGCCGCAGCGGTCGGCCTGCTGGCTCGGCGTCAGCGGCGCCCCGCCGGCCTTGGCTGGTGATGCCCGGAGCGGCTCGGCTCGGCTCGGCTCGGCCCGGTCCGGCGCGGCCCGCGCCCGCCGCCGCCGCCGCCGCCGCCCGACGCGCGCCGCGTGGCGTGCATCTGTCGCCGTCGCTGCGCCTCCAGCGGGGCGCTGATCAGCCGCCATGTAGGACTAGTCTCCGGGCGACGCCGCGCTCGATCCTCTCGCCGTCCTCTCGCCAGACGTCCGGACGCCGCGGATGTGCCACAGGAACGGTGTTGTCAAGCATGGTGTCTCAATCCAACAAACTTGGCTGAATGTTTCTCAGGGATGTTTTTGGGATCAGAGGCCTTGCTAGGTGTGGCCTGTTTTGAAGTCCGTGGCCACAACCCAGCATGATAATTCCAGGCTACCGAACAACATATTTCGAAAGATTTTGACGCGCCATGAAATGTTATGAGGCAAGCCTCTCGTGCCATTCTGACTGACCAGTTGTCATCTGACCGTAATCGACGAATTACACAGCCATGGTTGCTGTCGTCATAGGCATAGAAACGGAAGGTCAGGGGGGCAATTGCTCTCCCCCTTTTCGTGATGGCGACGTAGCGTAAGATCGGCCTCCGGCAAACATGTTGCCCGTCCCTTTATGGGACGTGTCTAGGCCCTTGGCCAGGTCTCAAGCACATGCTTAACGTACAGCGGTTGAAAATCCTGTGCGGTGCGATCTGCGCTCAAGGGAACAGCGAATATACCACTCACGTACCCTGTAAATAGGTGCGAGCAATGTTCTCACTGCAACGGAAAATGGTCCTTGTGGCGTCGCGGACCCAGCCGATCGTACGGTTCTCTCATATCAACTCGCGATATCCCCTTCGCTGGATGCAAGGTACGCACCCAGATCCGCACTAAGCCGCAGCGACGCGTCTGTGCGGGCCTACTGTCTCCGAGCGGCGCCGCAAGAGTCGTCAGAATGAGGCGTCAGCCGGACGCACGGCGCGCGCTACCAGAACCGCCCGGACGAAAAACTGCGCCGGAGCTTGAGCTATGTCTTAATCTGTGACCCATATTAGGCAGTGGCGAGGGTCGGCCACCGAGCGGTCGCGAGCATCTCTGTGCCGGCTCAGCCCGGCCCCGTGTTTATAAGGTTTTCCACAGGGCCCCCTGCTCAGTGGTCACGCGCCTCTGCACCGGCCCGGCTCGGCCCCGCGTCTGGGCCCCTCAACGGACCTCTGCTCAACCGGCCACAATGCCTCCGTACCAGCCCAGCCGGGGCCGTCTGAGGCCTCCACGGGCCTCTGCTCAGCAGCCACTGCCTCTGTACCAGCCCAGTCCGACCGTCAGAGACCTTACATGGGGCCTCTGCTCAGCAGCCACATGCCTCTATACCAGCCCAGTCCGACCGTCAGAGCCCTTACATGGGGCCTCTGCTCAGTGGCCACGCACCTCTGTACCAGCCCAGTCCGGCCGTCTGTGACTTTACGCGGGGTCTCTGCTCAGTGGTCACATGTTCTGTACCAGCCCAGTCCGGCCGTCTGTGACTTTACGCGGGGTCCTCTGCTCAGTGGTCACATGCATCGTGTACCAGCCCAGTCCGGCCGTATGAGACCTTCCATGGGGCTTCTGCTCAGTGGTCACATGCCTCTGTACCAGCCCAGTCCGGCCGTATGAGACCTTCCATGGGGCTTCTGCTCAGTGGTCACATGCCTCTGTACCAGCCCAGTCCGGCCGTATGAGACCTTCCATGGGGCTTCTGCTCAGTGGTCACATGCCTCTGTACCAGCCCAGTCCGGCCGTATGAGACCTTCCATGGGGTCTCTGCTCAGTGGTCACATGCCCTGTGCCAGCCCAGTCCGGCCGTATGAGACCTTCCATGGGGCTTCTGCCCAGCGGCCACGTGCCTCTGTGCGGGCCCACCAGCCCGGCGTTTGAGGCCCTCCAGGGGGCCACCGCTGAGGGAACACGGTCCTCTAGGCTTTAACAAACAGACCTGCTAGGAGCATCGATCAGAGCCTTGGAAAACCTCCAAAGGGTGGGGGCCAAATGCCTACATGAGGTAAGCTTTCCAGATAACCGACAAATGCCACCGCCGGCTACCTCCTTTGCACCACTAACCCGACCCCGGCCCGTTTTCAAGCCCATCACAAAAACAACCGACAACAAGACCGCTCTAAAATGTGAGAAGGCCGAAGACGGAAAAATACATCGAGAAACTTACGTGGATATTGGCGTCGGGTATATCTCGTAGTATTTTTCGATGGGCTGCCGGCGCACCATGGCGCTGTGCTCCTCTTCTGAGAGGGTCATGAATCCGGGTGGCAGATCAGAGGCGGCCGGCACCTGGGGCATGACGGGGGTCGGCCCCACCAGCGACACGCCGGTCAGCGGCGGGGTGAACGTCACACATGCCGCGGCCGCTCGCTTCCAGTCTCGCACACGGCCAGCAGGCGACGGGGCCGGATACCAGCAAACGAGCGCCGCCGCTGGCTGGCAGCCGGCGGACCGGCGGTGACCTGGCGAGCGGGCGAGCACCGCCTCCGGCTGGCAGGCGGCGGTGACCTAGCGTCGGCGCCGCTTCCGCCGAGTCTTCCGGGACGGACACTCGGACGGTCGGCGGACGGCTGTCACGTGCTCACCTGCAGACCTGGCGACCAGCACTGCGCGCCGCGGCCAAACTACCCGGCAGCCCGCACCAACCTCGATGCCGCCCACGGCCGCCCACCTAGCGGCCGGCGTACGAAACAGTCTTGAACACCGCTGGCGGACTTACCTCGTAGGGCTTTGTAGCTCGAGTGCCTCAGTACATTTAGTCAAATGCCTCGCATTAAGAAGTTCTTAGGCCAATGCTTCATAACGTTAGACTCCTAAATGAAGTCCATGCTATAATCGAGCGCCGTCGCGTCTCCGCCTGTCGGACGCTGACCATCTGTCGAGGGTGTTGGGCTTCACGTCCCGGAGACTCGCCCTGTGACATGGCTTTGACGGCCGATGGGCAACTGGCCAAGGCCTTCCAGCTGAAGCGGAGGGACCACACAGCATGGCGCGTGACAATCGCCAGGAAAAACTACCTGTTGAGCCGCCATCGCCATAGCAGTGGAGCCGAGAGGCATGCATGCATACGCCATAGCATAACCGTATATTACAGGTGAAGCTATCCTGTCGTGAATCGTTCCCTTGTGATGCATGGGAGGTTAAGTGAAACAAGCTGGTGCGTCAATAAAGACATGTTGTGCAGCATCCATCACATCACTAGCATGGACACTCATATCTCGTCAAGTTCCGGCACCGATTGTTCCAGTGACGTCACGTCCTCGTACCACATGTTTATTAAACGCTGGCGTGCGGATGGCCAGGTCTAGGTCCGCGTCTCCACAAGCTGTCGTTGGGAAATGCTCTAAAACCAGACCAATCGCTGACAAATATTTGGTAAAACTGCGTGGAGAAAGTGAAGGTGAAGGCTTGTATTCTGCAGACCGCTTCACATTTCTTCACATCTTCACGTGTGGGACATTACTCACACAAAAATACATATCATGACAACTCCTTTGTCTATGTGAAGTACTGAGCGTATTGGTTCAAAGGTCTTAAACGTGGTTTACACAGGTTCTTTCATCGACAAGTCAGGACCTTGTCATATCCTCCCAGATCCGAGCGCCGCGGCAGGTACGGCGGGCGGCGGTGCGCTCGGGCCGTATCCATTCCACTACATCATGGCACCGGACTGAGGCGACAAACTAACACGACCAGCAGTCCACGTCCACCCCCGATCTGGGTCACGTCACGTCCTCCTGCCGAAGCAGCCATCCGCGACCACCCAGATCCGCGTCACGTCACGTCCTCCTGTCGAAGCATCAGCCCGCGTCCGTCCCCGATTTGCGGCACGTCACGTCCTTCTGTCGAAGCAGCACCCCGCGTCCGCCCCCGATTTGCGTCACGTCACGTCCTCCTGTCGAAGCAGCAGTCCACGTCCGCCCCCGATTTGCGTCACGTCACGTCCTCCTGTCGAAGCAGCAGTCCGCGTCCGCCCCCGATCTGCGTCACGTCACGTCCTCCTGTCGAAGCAGCAGTCCACGTCCGCCCCCGATCTGCGTCACGCCACGTCCTCCTGTCGAAGCAGCAGTCCACGTCCGCCCCCGATCTGCGTCACATCACGGTCTCCCGTTGATGTAGCGCGGAGCGTGACAGCCTCCAAACCGACACATATACACAGACTGCGGTGCGCTGCGTACGCAATGCCAGACGAGGCTAATTTCACTGCACGGACATCGCCCCAAGCCGAACATTGGAAATGCCTGACACAGTAGGCGGGGTGTTGTAGCACGGGACAGGCGGCCATTTGAGTAGGCCTGACGCGTCCCGGCGCCGCTGGGTCACGAGGTGTGCGGCCCGAACAAATCCGGCGTGACCCGGGCTGGGTCGGCAACCGGCAGCCGTCGAGGCCCGGCCAGCCGCCGCGGGCCGGAGCCAGAGCCGGTCGCAAGGTCTGCCACCCTCGACGGCGCGCAAGGAGCTGGGCCCTCGGACGCCACGTCGCCCCGCGCGGCCAGCGCCGATGACACCGGCGGGGCCTGGCCCGGCCGGAGGGCGGCCGGTGGCGCCGAGTCGGGCCCCCTGGCGGCGTCCGGCGGCGGCGGCGGCGGTGGCGGCGGCGGCGGCGGCGGCGGCGGCGGCGGCGGCGGCGGCGGCGGCGGCGGCGGCGGTGGCGGCGGCGGTAGCGTGACACCGGCGTGTAGACGGGCGTGGCCGGCCAGAGCCTCAGGCCAACGGAAGGTCTTGCGACAGACGGCGCAGCCGTAGCTGTCGCCGGCGGCGGCGGCTTGCCGTGCACTGGCCGGCCCGGTGCCGCCGCAGGCTTCCCTGGCACGCGTAGCTCTTCCCGCACTCCTGCAACACGCGGCGAGAACATAGAGTCTACCCCGACAGGGCAAACACATCGCACGGCATTTGTTTGAGCGGGAAATGCGCCCGTGTCTCTCATCTCCTACCCCTGGTCGACAGCCTCTTGGACTGCCTCTCTTCCCGTATCTCTTTCTCCACGTTGAACGCTCTTTTCCCCTTCGTAGTTAGTCATATCACGCCTCTTCATGTTCAACTCTGTCCCCATTCAGGCTTCCACATCCAACAGTGTTGAATCCTATGGTCGTTCTAATTTCCTCACCTGACACGAATACGGTTTTTCGCCCGTGTGCTTCCTCAGGTGCTCTTTAAGGTGCACCTGTGCGGAGGTTCGCCTCGTTAACACCCACAACGCTTGTGAACGAAATGCAGTGACTGATGTGCAATGAAATGCAAATTCAAACATACAACGCCACCATCTGACCCCTCGTTAGTCCAGCAGCGTGCCTCACCATCGTCCCTAAAGCATCCGTTTTTACGCGTGCCGTAGAAAATGCCGGACACGCCGAACACAATCATTCACTCATTCATACTATCGCCATTGTTACATAACGGACCCTCCAACTACGTTGTCAAGGGAGACCTGACCCAATATTTCACAAGCAAAAGCTTTGCATGTGACTGGCCAAACGCGCCGCGTGTTTTTTATCTTGACGTTATCGGACTGCACGCAAGATCCAAAACTGCTCCCGTTTTCGCGGCTGCTTGAACGGCTCACAACAAGCAAATTTGAAGGCCGTGTTAGCGTAAACGAGACAAAATCCTCATCACCAATCATCACCAGTTATTTAGCGGCGGAACTGGTGCGGTGTTGAGCCATATGGTAGCCGGCTGGCGTGTGGCTGGCCGGCTCCAGAGCATGCGCCCTCCTCTCACCTGGTGGTAGAATGCCTTGCCACAAACGTGGCACGTCAGGTGGCGCTGCTCGCCGCAGACGGAGGCCACGTGCCGCGAGTAGGTGGACGGGTCGGAGAAGGTCTTGCCACACTTCTGACACCAGTGCGGACGGGCACCTGCACCCGCGCGGCGGACAGCGTCAGACGAAGGACCGGGGTCTCCAGGCAGGACCGCGTGGCGGCGCCACTTCGGCGCGTCAGAGACGGAGCCGGGCGGCTGCGGCGAGATCAGCTGCCGCCTCCACAGCCGCAGCACTACAAGGCTTCGAATCGACAGGCTATGCACGGGGAAGACGTTCCGAATCGACAGCTAACGTGCAACAAATGACGTCAAAACACTCGCATGAAATACAGTTGAGCAGTACGCCCAGATCTGGCACCGGCCAGCGCTTCCAAAGAGCATGTGTACCTGCACACGCTCTTCTTCTATGCGCTTCACATCATCACACATCTTCTATGCGCTGCGGACTGGCGGCACTGGACAGTCTAACCACACTAGCAACAGTCTGTGCGTTAGGCTCCGAGGTGCGCCGACCGTTCTGTTCCGACATCGTCAAACAGACTCATAAGAAGCGTTGCCAGTGCTACGCGTGTTCTTGTCACGGGGATGCCCGACTCCTGACGTAGCGAGCTGGCACCACCAACACCGCCTGAGCTGTTGTTCGCTGCGCGAGGCATGCGTGACGCGCGGGCAGTGGGCCGCGACGGTGGGCCCGTCCATGCAGCAGAGCGCCGTTGCTTTGCCGTAATGGGCCCCGTGCAGTCTTACGTCATCAATTCATCCACAGTGTCGGGAGTGTTGCCTCGTGCATTAAAATCAGTTTGTGATCCCACGTGTTTTAAGAGGAATGTAAGCACGTCACCGCACGCCATTTTTGAGGAGCGCCAGCGACTGCAGAGGTCATATCAGCGCCCAGGAGCCGTAAGGATCCCACGCCATCCAAATGGTAACGTCGCTTTATCCGTTGGTAGCAGCACTCACCGTGCTTTTTGTCCGTACTTGCCGCAAGTTACAACGCTTTTTATATTGTAAGAACTTAACCCTCCAAGAAGCAATGATCGCCTAGATGAGCTTTGCAAATATACCTGCCCGCGTGATACTGTTGTGGACAATCATAAAAAGCAGGAAGATAGTTTAAATCACTGGGAGTGACTGAATTTCAACATGTCCCAAAGTTCATGACCCAGGGTGGGTATGCTATGTTGTACAAGTCACGCTTCACTAGGAATCCAGCACAGCTGCCGATTTTTCAGAAGACAGTGCCCAGACACCCGCCTGCGCGCTGCAACTGACCCAGGTGCCGGAGCATATGGACGCGAAGGTTGCTCCTCTTGTAGAAGATCTTGGAACAAACGTCACAGCGGGCCGGCTTATACACAGCTCTGAAATTGGGAAACCTTTTGACATGGTCAATATTGCATAACAATGCTGCAATCTGCAATCAATAGCCCTCCCTGTGCCGTAACAAAGGCAGTTACCCATAGTGGTGAGCAAAATGATGCGGTTATACCATACAGTGCCTACACTCTCATAAGTATCACACAAACATTGTTTAAAGGCGCAACTTTGACGCCTGAGCCGCCCAAGGTATTGTCACACATAGCCAACAGTTCCCCAGCTTTTGTTAACTGCTATGTGGACATTTATACAGCCAAGAATCCGGGCAAATAAATCACCGCCGGCTGCAGCACTGATATGTGCGCTCGCGATGGTCAATACATCGGGCCATAGCCATAATGATCGCCCATAACAGAGCAGCAGTGGCCGTGCAGCAGTCCTGAGCTCAGCAGTGTCCTGAACAGTGTCCGCGCCCCGTCACCCAGTGACTGGCCGGACAGCGGGGGCCGGTCCCGCTGAGCACGGCCGTGTCTGAACGTAGGTCGTCGCCCGGCTGACTCACTTGGCCTTCTTCGCCGCAGTGTGCTGCAGGCCGGCGGCAGCGTCCGTGCCGGCCTCGTGACCAGTCCTGGCCTGCGGCATCAGCAACGGCGGCGGCGGCGCCGGCGGCGGGAGCGGCGGCTCTTCCTGCCCGGTCAGCACGCGCAGCAGGCTCTGCTGCGCGCCGCCGGCCAGGCCGAGCGTCTGCTGCAGGCGCGCCCACCGCCGGCGCAGCAGCAGCGGCAGTTCGTCGGCCAGACCCTCGACGCGCGTTGGACAAGCCGCCACAGCCGATCGTCAGGCCGTCTGGCTGGCAGCTGATGAGCAGGCTGGCGCGGGCGCCGCACACGTGGAACCGGCCCAGCAGCGACGTCACCGTCGCCAGGCTCAGGAAGACCCGCTCATGCGGGTCAGACGTCGCCATGGCCCCTGCTGCCGCCACCTGGAGCAGAGCACCCCCCATGTCTCACCAAGCAAGCATCACCCTGTTGCCTCCATTGCCAGCCTATGTGCTCATGTATTGTTTATTGTATTGGCTTGTCACAAGATTGCTTGACAGCCATACTCATGCATTGTTTAATGCATTTGCTTGTTACAACACTGAACCACAGCACTTAAACCATCACCCAAAAATCATGTCAGAGACAGTCAAGAAACATGAATGAGCACCAAGAAAGATCAGACAGAATCATTGCACATTGAAGCTTTGGTTCATTCCATACTATGCAGATGTTACTAAGGCAAGCTCCTTCACATGAGGACCTAAAAAAAACACCTGTGGAGATGCAATGAAAAAATGATCATGCCTGGTGAATAACTTTGAATGAAGTCTAAAACTCATGCACAGGTATCTTGGGGGCCTTTTCCAGGAGAGGCAATTCTATTAAATACAAGCATGATGTTTGCATGAAACTTTGAGGTTAAAATTTATGTCTGATATGTGAAATGTCACATCAACTTTGATTACCACAGTTAGAAACACCACTTGCTGTGACAACATGTCTATGGAACTGATTTGTAAAATGTCAAGTAGATGACCCTGACCACAGCAAAATCATAATTTGGGAGGCAGGAATGTAGCTAAAATGGCTGCAGGGATCAAGCCTCCTGCTGCTGAGCCAAGAGATAGTGAACAACACAAAATAATGGTGATCTTGCAGGAATCTGATACAAACTCACCAAGTTTTATACATAATACACTATATATATATATATATATATAAGTTTTATACACATAGCTATACATTTACCCCCTGCTGATGGAAATTTTGGCTACATGCCTGTTGTAAGGGTAGATTAATTGATAAAAATTGGGCAAAAGGGGTAATGAATCAGCTACTGGTGCACTCAGATGATTTATTGCATGTTAATAAGTCCCCGAGCATACTAAAATAATCCAAAACGTATAACCCAACGACTGCAAAACAAATTATATTAAACCACTTCAGCCGGCCATTTTATAGCTTCCGGTGACGACCCCTGATATATATGGCACCGAAGCTTTACGATGCACCTAGCTGCTGGAGCTGTACATCGTTCCCTGACACTCACATCACAGAAAGGGCGGGCACCACGGAGAATCGAACCCGGTACCTGTTGTTTCCCGATGACCTCTAATTTGATCGACAGTAAACATTTCCGGTAGGCATTGCGTTTTCAATATAGACTCATGAGATGAAAATTCAGCAAGCCATGACAGGCAATTCGCAATATTTTTCCTACGCTTCACAAGTAATACACGCACGCCCGACCTTTACCTTCCAGCCCGTCAGCGTCCGTATTTCTCGTGCCTGCGCGCAACTCAAATGGTCGAAGCGGGTCTCGATGTTGACGAAAGTGGCCAATATTCTGGAGAGTTTTGTGAACAGCAGTGTGCCTTGTAATTCTTGATACCGCTGCAACCCCGTCCGTTTGACTCTACATCGAGATTGTCGTGTCTCGCATCTCCCTCTCTTTCAAATCTATGATGTGCCTCAGGGTTATTTCTATAAGTCAGAGGGGGCGAAGCGCAATGTACGGCATTCATCCCGACAGCGGAAATTGGGGGTGTCCGCAGTGCTCCCTGCGTTTAGCGCAAAATTATATATATATATATATATATATATATATATATATATATTAATGAAAATATATCCATCCATTACGACATGTGTTTCTATTGAATGAAAGCCCGTGATTTTAGAGTATTTTCACTACCACCCAAGATGCAACACAGCGGAGCACATGCAATGATCGGAAGAACCATGGATTTATATATTGATACTAATGAATGATGATCAGCACCGTATCTTGACCCTGAAAAACATCTGAAGAAATTAAAACCTTTTATGCATTTGGTACGATTTGAGCGATGAAGGAAAAGGAATATGATGGCCGCCAAGAGGATGAGAATGTGCCGGCGTATATTGCCGCCTTTTACTGACAGTCAAAATGGCCGATTTTTTTAGCAAAACTGGAAACCATGAAGCATAAAATCTTAACCATTGTTGCACCTTGTCTTATGCGCCTTGAAGGTGTGCTAGTGAGCGATCGTATTGTGTCACTTTCGGGACAGGGTTGAGCAGAGCCAAACGTTTCAGAGGCGTCAGTGCAGGGAGGGGTCTGTTTGGTGCGGTGGCTCACACTAACCATGCTGGTCTTATGACCAACGTCAGTCGCGCCGGTCCGTTGGCCCACGTCAGCCACGCTGGTGCGGTGGCCCACGTCAACAGCGCTGGCCCGGTAGCCCACGTCAACCACGCCGGTCCTGTGGCCCGCGTCAGCCCACGACGCTCGCTCCACACCCTGCACAGGTGCGTCATGTAGGCGGGGATGGCGCAGCGCATCCTGGCCGTGGATGTGCGGGTGGCCCGCGTGATCCGGGCGGCTGGGTGCGGAGGACCACCTGCTACGTCCAATGGTCTCGCGGAACCGTCCGGCCTCTATGTGGCTATGTGTGGACGCAGGCTCGAGTTACCTCTTCGCTGTTCCTTGCATTACACTTTCCGGGGTGACTCGGAAGCGGTGCAGATTGTGACCTTGTCGTTCGGACGACCGGCCGGCCGAGAATTCGACCATACCGCCGTCGGCATGGGCCGGGGCCGTTGGCAAGACCCGATCAGTCCTGCAACGAACCCTGACATCTAGCGCCAGAATAGGCATGGGCGTTCCGTACTAGGGTGGTGCATGGAAACGAACTAACGCGAAACGGCTTGGGTATTCGCCTTGATCTCCATTTCCTGGCAACGTCTGCTGTTGTTCTTCCAAAGTCCAGCTCCATTCCTTTTAGGTTTTATTTACAACAATCCTAAAGGTATGCGCGTCACTGCCGGCGCAGCATACCGGGCTGTTGCCAATACCTACATCCACGGCAGAGCGCGAGTCTCACATGACGCTGAGAGGGCGGTAGAGCCATGTCAGCACCTGCGGAGGCGCACATAAGATGATCCAGAAGCGCGCCAGAAAAGGCGTGCGGATAAAGAATCCGAGTCATTATGATAATGATTAGCATGCTCTTCAGGAAAATATGCTCAGTCCAAAACACAACAACGCGCAAATACCACTCAATGCATGTTAGGCTTGCGAAGCCTTTGTTGTTTGTGCAGGATATTATCATTTGTGCAACCCCAAACACGTGTGCTCCAGATACCTGATCATCACCCGGCGCATAATAAACAGACTGAAAGCAACCTTATGGAAAATACTCTACATAAATCATTGCAAAAGCACAGCACTATCTGGTAACCAATACAAAACCCAGATGTAAAAAGCTTTAAAACGTGTCATCATACAGGAAGGCGGCAGCCCTCACTGAATGGAAGTGTGTTGTGATTAACGTTCTTCAGCAGACGGAGCACGTACAACACAAGATCAGCACAACAACGCCGCACAGGCCGCCCAACACTGTATAAAATGTACCTGCGTGCCAAATAATTTCTGGTCAACGAGGCTGATCCATTTACTCACTGCAAACGTGTCGGTCTAAAATAAGATTTCAAACTCCAACGAACGCACTGCAATACAAAACGCCGCCGAAGTCTCGGGAAGTTTTAAACTCTCCCAAGACGTCGTGTGTAGCGGGCAAATCACGACACACCTTGTGCTACAGCAGTACAGAACAACGGTCTTGGCGAGAAAGACACTTTTTCTCCAGACTGCCAACGAAAACTGTAACAACAGCATGAAGCGTACTGGCTGTCGTTGCTGAGTTTCACTAGAAAAATAACGGCACATGTGGGTTGGTTCAAGCTGCAAGGTGCAGTCGAAGTCCCTCCCACGAAAAGTAAAACCGTGCCGCAGGATGCGAGCCTGATGACGAAAGCTTAGGTAAAAAATAAAATACCCACTCGACCGCAAAACGACCAATTGCAGAAGCTGTCACAGCGCGGACTGCTGAAGAGATACCCGTGTAAAAGGCACGGTCACTGCTGAACGGCTCCCTGGACTGCGCAAGCCACTGCAGCATCTCGCCCTGACCAATCACATGAATCCGGTGGGTACAGAGTAGTCAGCTCAGCCAAGCAAGCGCACGCCGCCAGGCGCGCCGCGGAGGAACAAAGCGCGCTGTTGTGATGCCGCTGGCAACGCCAGTAGCAGAGGCCCCTGCCAGCGCAGGCAAGTCTGCGGCCGTGAGAGGCTGGCGCCGAGCGGCACCGCTGGCGGTCGGCGGCCGCTCACACGGCAGCCATGTCACTGTCGGCGATCACCTCCACGGCCAGCTTGCCGGGCCGCCGCTCAGTAGCGTCGGCGCGGGTCTTGCCGAACAGGTTCAGCTCGTACTCCACCACATTGCCGGGCGAGTTCTCGGCCAGCAGCGTGGCTTGGCCCATGAAGCGGTCCTTCAGCAGACAGCTGTTCCACACCTGGCGCACGGACGCTCGTTCAGGCAGACGGTCACCAATGCAGCCCCAACGCGGATCAGATATGATAAAATAAACCCACTTACAATACTTTTTAAAGGAGAAGACTGCTCAAGACCACACAATTTCTGTTTAGTGAATATGTTCCTCAACACGTCATAGTTTGATTACATCACCGTACCTTGCGCAGCGCTGATTGAGAGCCAACTGACGACCGTGATACATGGAAATCGTGCTCACAAATGCCTTTTATGGACGACTCAACCATCACGTCTTTATTGGCCTTGGTCGCTGTATGGCCAATTGAATGGCAGGATTTTAATTAATTTTTATAGTACCAATGATATCTGAGTGACCTTGAAATTGTCTGCAAAATTTCCGCGGACGTGCAGCCCAGAGACTAGTGGGGTTTATATCGTCAGAACGGCAGGGCTGTGAACTGCACCAAATGGTCTTCAAGATACCTCTTTCATTTCCAAATCCCATGCAAAGGTGGAACATTCCCTTTAAGAAAGGAACATGAATGAGACGAATTGTGGCATAACAAATGCACCAAGAGCACAGCTGTCCCACGGCTTGAGCAGTCCACCTCCACCAGCGCGCTGGTGGACTGCCCAGACTGGCAGCGTCGAAGCTATCAGGTTGCAGCACGGCGGTTTTCGCTACTATTAGTTAGGTATCCAATCGGTAGATGCCATTGGCGTCATTTTTGCAAGCGATTCAAGCTCAGATCAGTGCGGCTCTAACCGCGCGGGGCTCATATGAGTGAGCCCGGCGAGGTTAAATATCTTCACCAAGCCCTGAGCACGAGCACAATGGCGTCCTGTCGACACACAACACCCGTGACTGGAGGCACCAGCACTGCGCCTAGCCGCACCTGGACTTTGATCGGCTCGTTTGCCTTCCGGTAGAAGACGGCTTTGCAGTTCCAGGTGGGGTTCAGCGTCTCCTTGACTGCAGGGGAGGTGACCTTCGTCCTGCCGCACCTGATGAGCACGTACGGGTCCGCCGCTGCGGCAGCGACACCGCACCCGGTCACCCCGGAGTCACACACCTCACACGGACACAGCACCCGGTCACCCCTGAGCCACACACCCCACACGGACACGGCTTCCGGTCACCTCGGAGCCACACACCACACACAGGCACAGCGCCTGGTCACCCCGGGACCACACACGTCACACGGGCACAGCGCCTGGTCACCCCGGAACCACGGACTTGAGTGGCGACAGCACACACAAGCCGGGTTTGCCCACCGCTGCCGGCCGGCCGGCCGGGCGGGCGGGCGGGTCACATTTGTACCAAGCGGCCACTGCGTACGGGACATGATCGTTCTCTCCAGCACACAGCGCGTGTCGACTGGCAGGCCCTATCGGCAGGCAGGGTACCTCAGGGTCCGCTCCGACAATACCCCACAATATCACGGAGATGTAGACATGTTGACATGTGAGACGTAGTAAAAATGGCATTCGGTCTAGTACGTATGCTTTTACCGGGCTTAGGGAACAAATTTTGAATGGAGTGGCAAGTTCCAACTAGTTTGCACAGCTGAATTACACTCAGTCAATTAAAATCATCATTTCAACCGCTGCTTGGTTTACTTCACGGCGCTCATTTCCACCGCGCGGACGGTTTGTGGATGATAATCATTGCTAGATGTGCCACGGAAAGATAGCCTGACTGGACTGATCTCAATTTAATCCGTTTTTGGACGTGACGGAACCAGAGGAGTGACCGCCTGCGGCCTGCAGCGCCGGCGGCAGCCGAGTGACGCCCGCCGCGGGCCGCGAGCCGCGTGACTCACAGCCCAGCGAGTCCTGCTTCTCCAGTCCGGTGGCGCTGACCACCTTCACCACCACGACGCCGGCGGGGGGCGTGAAGCACGGGCAGATGCTCGGCTTCGGCTGGTCCTTCAGCAGCTCACTGCGGTCGCGTTACGTCACACCGGTCATCGGGGTCACAGCTGTCACCGGGCTCACGCTAGTCACGGGAGTCACAGCTATCACGGGGGTCACAACAGCGACCGGGGTCACTGGGGTCACAGCGGTCACGGGGGTCACAGCTGTCACCGGGCTCACGCTAGTCACGGGATTCACAGCTGTCACGGGGGTCACAGCAGTCACCGGGGTCACTGGGGTCACTGGGGTCACAGCGGTCACGGAGGTCACAGCGGTCACGGGGGTCACAGCGGTCACGGGGTTCATAGCGGTCACGGGAGTCACAGAGTTCACGCGCAGCACGAGCGTCACCCAAGTCACGGGAGTAAGGGAGGCGGTGACGGCCTCGCGGGCCAATGACGTGGTAGAAACGGCCGAGGTGTGGTGTAGAAGCAGGGGAGCCGCCACTTCACGGCTAGGGAGCAACCAGAAACCTCGGGAAGGGGCCATACAACTGGCCTGGGAGGGGGGGGGGAGACAAACCCGAACATGCGACTTGAGTGACCAAACAATTCCAACAATAGATTAGGTTTATCATTGACGCGAAGCGAGTACACGAGGCTCCAAGTGCAGGACGGGTGAGGGGACAACGGTCCCATGTGTGTCCTGGCCGAAGACCCCGAGGCGGAGCACACCCTAATGATACGTCACCAACTACATCCGTACCACTAAAAGGATAGGGTCCACCAAACAACACTGTTTTTGTTGCATATGAGAAAGACAGTATAACATAATGTGCAGAGGTAGCTTGAGCACACTAAACACAGCATGACTGGCTCCAAATTGCAAGGATAGTAAGGATATTGCAACAAGGATAAGGATTGCAAGGATATGGTCCACCAAACAACACTGTTTTTGTTGCATATGAGAAAGACAGTATAACATAATGTGCAGAGGTAGCTTGAGCACACTAAACACAGCATGACTGGCTCCAAATTGCATCTGAAAAAAAACTGCGCAAATCCTGTGTCGAAACTGCACCTTTCAGCGACACGAAGCACATGTCCTGATTCGTAAGGCTTCTTTTCCTGCCAGCTGCGGGCTCTTTACAATGCGAACTATACCGACTTTTGGCTTCAAGATGACGCGCACATCGGTTACGGATAATGCGGAGGCATTCTCATGCTGTGGTGATGCGGCGCAGCGAGCCCCCTAAAAAAGACTACATGCCAAAATGTGTGTTGCTCTGATCCGTGTATGCTCAAGAAGTACTTACTTAGCATCTTTCAAGTCTCACTTTAGAAAATATATCACACTCGAATTGTTTGGCTCAATCTCGTCAACGCAATGCATGCTATTGTATGACTATCTCACTTTCGAAGCATTTCAAGTCTAAGTGCGGCGAAATTCTCGTGCTATTTGGCCTCGGCCAGATTTCCCGGCCCCAGCGCCGAGATATCACAGAGGCCGTGCCAGTGGCGGTCGGCCGGGACGGCCGGCGAACGGCAGGTCCTTTGCTACGCCGCGGCCGGCCGCCGTCACCTGGTCACTCACTGCAACTCGGGACTGCTGCCCATGAAGAGGCGCAGCAGAAACTCGCCGCCCTCGCCCGGCGAGAAGGTGGTCGGCACGAGCACGTAGCGGCCGCGCGGCAGCTGGTCCCGCCAGAAGATGCTGCGCGACCGGATATAGTCCGAGGTGGCGGCCGACTCCTGTATCCGGTGCACGCGGTACTTGCGGTTCATCTCCACCTGAGCACCCACATCAGCTGTTCAGGTCACGTGGACGAGCCTAGCACCATGGTCAGCGCGCACACGGCAGCCACCGTTGTCGTACAGTATATTAGATATCTCAACTGCACCGCCAGAAAATCGGTCCAAATATGACGCCGGATGGACCTACGTATCCGTCAAAGGTTTGTTGTGTATCTTCCCGCATTTCGCAAAATACGGCGTGGACCAGCAACATGAGGGTCACCGCATACAGCCTGGCCACGCGCGGTCGGAGTTCGTCCTCCCCCCTCCCCTCCCCTCCTACCACCACTTCCTCTCGGCACGCGACGCTCGTCCAGTCGCGGTCCGCACCTTCATAATATGGAAACCGATGCAGAGGTTGAGCGCGCCCTCGTGCTTCCTCTCGCGCTGGTCCTTCTGACTCAGCTGCACGATCACCTCCTCCACCTCGGAGTCCACGTCGAAGCGGTACTGCAGGAGGCGGGCGGCACACGTCAGGCGGTGCGCAGCGCGCGCTCACCGGCGCGTCACCGGCGCGGCGCCGGCTGCACTGACCACCCGCCATGGTAGAGCTGGACCGACCCCCCCTCCCCCCCCCTCCTGCTATGTCACTTACAGTTGACCGGACAAGCCCACCAGGCAGCGACGGTACATCTGACAACATGTGGCCTGTGGGGATGGGGAGCAGGCAAACGTACGTTTCACTTAAATCTTGTCCTGCAGCCAAAAAACACGATCGATTTTTGTCTGCTAGTGTTCCTTCTTCCATTCAAGCGTGGGGCGTGCGCAGCTGTTCTCGAATCGGCCACCCCTGGCCGCAGGTGATGACGTCCGTGTGACCAGCTGTTCAGAGAACAGGCCAAGCCCGCACGACGGCCCCTCCCACCACGGTCCCGCCGAGTGCCGGCCCGAGTCGGGCCATCATGCTGGCTGGCGCCTTTCAAGCACGGCAGACGAACACCGACCAGCTTGTTACCTAATACAATAAAGAACATATACCACCTGGATTGGCTGGCAAAGTGATTCGAAACAGTGCAGCTTAGCTACGCCACACTTTGCATAGCTGCAGCCAACTAAATGGCCGATCTTTACGTAATACAAAATTAGATGTAACATGTAAGGTGACTGGCCTATGGCAGGTCAAAGTCAAGTTATGGCAGTCACCGAGGAAAATTCTCAGGGAATCATTCACTCTGATACAACAACGTTGTATCAGATTGACAAAGACAAAGTAGGGTCGAAGGGCTTGCTGTTGAAAGCAGTTTCTGGTGTCACTCCGAATATATTGCAAGCATTATACATTTTCCATGGACTTCTTATAGGTCAGAATAGGTCACTGTCCTAAAATGACCCAGGTTAACATTTCGGTTATAGGGACATACTGTCTAGCCTAAACTTTGTTGCGTATTCAAATGCAAAACTCAAAGCAGCCTTCTAAAATTTTGGTCACCATATCCTCCGAAAAGTCAAACAAGGTCGCTGACCTTGAATGAACATGTGGCTTTTTGCTTAGGCCAAGTATCCAGGTTTTGAGGACAATTTGAAGACCAACTTGGAGTTTGACTTTATCCGACCTCATTTGACCCGAAGGTCCTGGCCTAGAAGGCTCAAACTTTGACCTAAGTGAATTCACGTACAGGCTACCCTGAGAATTTGGTATATCTAGCCCTCCAAGTTCCTCGGATCTCAGGGGGACGGAGGTCAAATGGACTCCCCCCTCCCCACCACCCGAGCGAAGGTTATCCAACAGGCCACACGGAGCGTGTTAAACGAGGAGGGAATTTGAGTTGCAGGCAGCTTTTCAGTCCCAACAAATTTCGGAAAAACGGGCACATGTTATGAATGCTGCGAATTTGCACAGTAAAATTGGTTTAATAGGTTGATAACTCAAAATCGGTGTATTGTTCACTTGACAACAATAAAATGCGCTTGGTTCTTAGTGTCACTGCGTATGTCATAGTACATCGTTGATTGGAGTCCAACACACCATGTCAGGATGGCCGAGCGGTCCAAGGCGCTGCGTTCAGGTCGCAGTCCGGTTCTCCGGGCGTGGGTTCGAATCCCACTTCTGACAGGACTTTTTCCCCATTCAGCAACCAAAAAAATTATTGGACGAGATTCGGAAACGGCTAATCTTGCACCCGCCAGTACAGATCACACCAATTATGGCACAAAACAAGCTTCGCTGTTCTTCAAAACCCCACCCCCCTCCCCTCAACAACGACTCGGGTTGACGTACGCATCTTTTGTTTCACCGGCGTCAGTGGCGCAGGGCGTGTATTGATACACCCCGTCAGATGAGGCTCAAGCCACGTCTGATGCTGTACAGGGGGGGGCGGGGGGCAGTCCGAGATTCCGGGGTCGAAATGCTCCAGGCGCAGCAGACTGACCTGATTTTAGAAAATTGGGAGGTTACATCTGGCGGTTACATCCCTAGCTGGTGCCGTGTACTAACACACGCAGTCTACTCCAGTGTCAACAAATGGCGGAGGAAAAGTCAACACGAAAGGCCCATTCTAGCACGTTTCGTTCTGTTTGCGCTGCGTCTTAAATGGTGTGTCCACCTTTGGAGTATATTTCACAAGCATGCCCCAGTGAAACTTCGGAAACAGTCAACCAGAACCAGTTATGCTAAAACACACAAAATTACACCATATTGGATCCATAATTGAATAATGAACATGGCATTTTAGGTTTTGTTACTGCAGGGCATGGTCTAGTTAACATGAGCATGTAAACCAGGAAAAGTTCGACTTTCGGGATAAGTTGAACCCTGAATGGGCATAATGGGGTCAGTTACTGAGCTAACAACGAACAACTTATTACCGATAACGAGATATCGTTGACACGAACCCATTGCCTAGTTTGGAAACAGCAGGAGGGGGATGGGCGGCGTGTCGCATCACGTATAAGATCTCTTGTAACACAGTCGTTTGTTTGGGACAGCCGTTAGTATGGTGCCACGCGTCGGATGCTAGGAGATAGGGGCCCGAATGACTGCACTTGTATTCGCGGCACCTGTATCTCTAACCATATAACAATTCAGCATGGGTCGAAAAGCTTTCGGATCGGTCACCTGTGTTTCCAGCAGCCTATAACGAGTTAAGTGTGTCGGCTGTAAAGATGTGTGATCTTTAACGATGACTGAATATCGCGACACCTTTCTATTGGTAGCCTGCGCAAATCTGGAACATTTTCTGTATTTCCCGGCCCTTATGCTTTCCACCTGACTTGCTCGCTTGTGGTCACGAGCACTGCCTTAAATCATCAAGTATCATAGCGTATCTTACTCATCACGTCCTATTGACGCTTAACCGGCACTTGTCGCCCCCTGGTGAAGGTAGACGTTTTCAGCATAAAAACTAACGCCGAAAGATCAGACGCTCCATGCCTTCTTGCTGCTGGAAAGAACGCGTTATTCTGCAAACAGTCCTTATCCTTACTACCTAGACGGTTTTCAAACTAGTTGGTTTCACTTTATTTGCAAATTCATAAGCTCGTGCAGCAGCGCTAGTTGGCTTCCAACTAACTGGTAAGGTGGCAAAATAACTCTAGCTTGTAAACAACAAAGGTTTACACCATACGTCTGAAAGCAACATCCTCCGCTCCTTAATCTCGACAACACTCGGGTTAACACATCTCCATCTCGGGTTGTTTACTGCTATTCATTATTTTTGCACAGAGTCGTTCTACCAGGTATGTGGACTTGCCTCCAGCTACTGAAAGTCAATGCTATGTTGAAGTAAGCTGTCATGTCAAGTAAACTGAGGAAAACAGCGCAATATGTCACGACTTGTTGACATATTCTTCACGTCCATCCCCTCAGGCAGATCACGATCAAAAGCACACTATTTGACGTAGCAGTCATGCTACGTTGATTGTCAGAATACGTGGCCCACGGGTCCCGCAACTTCTCCCTGACACAGAAATCATCCAATGTCAGAGAGCAGAATTCCTGCAGCGTAAAGAGCAAACTCCTGGTACAAAAGAAGGCACCAAATGATTCAGAACATATCAAAACTGTTTTAAAATTCGACTAAAAAATTGTGTTGGGCATGCTGAATCACCTTTAGATCTACATAAATTCACACCAAGCGGATTCAGCCCGCATTCCGAAGTCACGTCAAAAGGTTTAAAGAGAGCATTCCACCATTTTCGTACACGTCACTTATTGTTACATCAGACGCGTACAATTTGATCAGTAATAACAGTTTCTCGAAATTCCTCTGAATAACTAAAAATTTGTATTTGAAGTAGCTGACTGCGAGATAAATCTCATTTGACTCCATGCCCACCACTTTGAACATAATGCATTTCATTTGCATTAATTTTTCCAACGTGTGTGTTCTGTAATATTTGAAACACATCAATATGCCAAAATGTTTGTGTAATAAATGCTACGAAAGCTGTAAACGCTCTGCTTAGACAAAATGATATGCGAACGTGAAGCCATCATCCCGCGAATTCAATGAAACGTTATACTATGGCTTTGGTTTCTCCCCTTTAGCGTCTACCACAGTGGCTCTTTCCGACGCGGACTTTGGCTTTCGGAATGGGGGTATCATATGATCCAGGTGATGCACTGGTTCAAACTTCAAGCAATGCACTTCTCGGTAACAGACGCTTGCCTGCTGGTCAATCGCAAACGTTCTTTTCTTCGCACCATGGAAGTGCGCACCGTGGTCGTCACGACGACGTTGGTCGCGACTGCAGTGAAGAAGAGCAGTGCTCTTGCACACCGCTGGCAGCGTAATTTGGACTCAAAAATAATTTTAATTGATAATCTGATTATGTCATTATGGTGCGGCAGTCGCACTTTCCATCGCTATCATTACGTGTAACTAGTCCTGAGGTTTCACTAGTCTTTTAAAGACATCCCCAAAAGTAGGACGCCCTTTTTAAGAGTTCCGACAAATCAGCTTGAAATGAAATCCAATAAATTTGAGAGCATTGACAAATCGATTCGAAATGAAATCAAATCGATCAAAAACCATCGAGTGGGGGAGCAGAACCATGCTGCCTAAGAAGGGGTATCCCTGAGGCTATACCCGTCCAGTATCGGCTGTGGTATGACCCATCAGCCCTCTGCGGCCGGTCTGTTCGGCCCGGCGGCCCTCACCTGCGGGTTGTGCAGGAAGGTGGAGCGGTTGTTGAGGCAGCCACCAGCCCGCTCTAGGGTGCCGCGAGCGCCCGCCGCCCACATGCCGAACGACCGCTCCTCCACCCACGTCTTGGAGAACGAGAAGAACGACGTGTTGATCAGCTGGCACACGGAGACGTCCGTGAAGTTGGCCACGAAGTCGTCAAACGTCATCCTGTAACGGATGTCGCGTATCAAGGGCGGAAGCGGGGCGTAACGGGCGCGCGAGGCAAGCGTTTTACCGACCAGCACTGCCACCCAATCCCCGCGGAGTCCGTTGTTCTGTCCGTCATTAGAGCAGCGCCAGACACGGCGCTACAGCTGAATGTAACATGAAGCAATGGAGCACTGCAGCACAAAGCAATACGAACGCTAGAGATGACATAAGCCCCCAAGAGCGCCGATCTGTATTCTGTACGCACCAGAATTCTCCATCGTTATCGAAGGTCAGGCCGATCTTTTCCCGCTCAGAGTCGCTGATCTTGGACCACTCTGGCGATCTGGAAGCCACCGGACAAAACGTTACCAAGAGCATGACGTAGCATGTACTACCGCCTGTTACGGGGTGCGTGCCAAACCCGTGCAAACTTTACGGCTCACTTGTCCACATCCGAAGATTCTCAAAATTCAGTCTCCGAAACAGGCAACCCGTAGTTCCTGCCGACTCAGTGCATCTAATACTGCATGCAACGCCACTACCAGGGCGTCGCCTTTGGAGTGATGACCGGCCCCTGCCCGGGTGCACCGTCACGGCGTGCTGGCCGGCGCGGCACGGACAGGCTGACGTCTACCGAGAGCCGGCCGGCGGCGAGCACGGGTCGCCGTTGGGTCCGCGGAGGCCTCACCTGGCCAGAGGTCAAAGGCAGCATGCAGCAGGGGCGGCGGCAGCCGGCACCGGTCCGCCCCGTCACCGGCAGCAGCGGCACGGGCCCCGACAGGCCCCACACGGATCGACAGCAGGCAGGCGCGTGCAGCGTGCGGTGCACGGTGTCGGCTGGGGACAGCACGGGGCCAGAGCTCCACCACCCGTGCGACCGGCAGAGCATATGCGCGGACAAGGGACCAGCCCCAGCCTCGGCACGCCCGCCACAGCACACAAGCACACAAGCACACGTGCACACACACACACGCACACGCACGGCCGGCGAGGGCCGAGGATGCGGACGCGGTGGACTAGGTCCGGCGGCGGTGCACTGGGCCACGTTCACAAGCCCCGAGACGGGAGGGTTCAGAACGGGAGGTGTGCCGCCAGAGCAGCGCTCCTACCACAGCCGTACCGGGAGGCAGACCAGTCGGAATGCGGCACGCGCTCGGCCGGGCGCCTTACGCAGAAATTTCGCACGGGAACGCATCTAACCCACTGCACATGTTTTCACCGACGACTTGGACCGACTGTCACGTCCCCGGACAGAGGCAATAGACAGCGGGCGGGTGGGCGTCGCCCACAAGCCCCAGGGACGGAGACCAAAGCTTCCGGGAGAGGGAGGGGGAGGGGTAGCCCCTCTAAGCGGCTGCGCCTGACCCGACACCGACCGCGCTACCTCCAGTGGTTCTTGTTCGTTCGGGCTACGAATCTGAAAGTTTGAGAACCGCCGGCATCAGACGCGGGGCCAGCTGTCCACTGCCGCTCACGGCACCAGCCTGAGCCGACCCAGTCAACCGACGACCGGACACCGGACCGGCGACCAACAAACCGGAACGGCCTCAGGCGTCAGGCGGACACATTCCCGCGGGCAGACATGGATGGAACAGTGCAGCACGTGCGTCGAACACCGCAGGACTGTGCTCCGGGAGTGACACCTGGCAAATCCGAGGTTCCGCTCCTCCAACGAGACGGCGGTGAGCGGAGAAGCTGGTGAAACACACGGGTGCTGGGTGCATGGGACTACCGTCCGCTAGGGGTGTGCTTCAGTCACTGTGCACCCCGTGGGCTACGTGTACAGTGTCACGGCTGTGCAGCGTAAGGGCGCCCCTGACGGCGCCCCTGCAGGGTCCGGTGGCATGGGCAGTTCACACATGCACACGCCAGCATACGTCAGTCCGCCCGCGGGGCAGCGGTGACGGCGGCCAGGCTGCGATAGTGGGCAGCAACGGCGTCACAGAAACAGCCGTGACAGCAACAGGACTCACACAATACCTTACACTACACTACATGGCTCATACCAACGCTGCACACGCTCGCGAGCTGGGCCCACAAGCGAGCCCTCCCACCCGCACCCACTAACACAGGCCACTGTCAGCCGGTTAACTCGTCGTTAGAAAGCCGGGAGAAGGGGCGAGTACTGCGCGGCCGTCTCGAGCTGCCCGCCACCGAGCCGGGCCGGGGTGCCTGCTCCGCTCGCCGGCGGCCACGGTCGGCTCGGCGCACCTACCTCGACAGCATGTGAGACAGGCTCTGTGTCGGGTACACATAGTCATGCCCGGCGCCCTCCGCCCTGCCAGGGCAGACAGGGCGGCAGTTACCGCGGGCGGCGCGGCGGCGCTAGAGCTGCCGGTAGCCGGCACACACAGGCACACACACGCTTACACACCGTCGCCGCCGCCGCCGCCGCCGCCGGCACTCCACCAGCGCACGACACACACCGATGTTGCCACCAACACAGGGGGCACGCGCGCACAGCCGATCACGAGTGTGCAAAGAAAACTCCATCCTCACACCATAACCAAAGCAGTGTTGCGAAGCGCACATGCCACTGAAACAGGATGCGAACAACCAGTGTCCACTACAGGGAAGTTGGAATTCGATTTTGGAATGTGAGGAATGCAGTCGATGTCACTGAAAATGTATGCAACTCATTCCATGTATATTTCGCAGTACTTTTCTCAGTTTGCCGACTACATCCTGAATAAAACAGGGCGTTCGACTTCATCGTCCAAATGTCCAGAATAGCAAGCAATGCCCACGGTGCCCAGGCCGCATCACGTGGACCACGAGGGCGGCAGCGTCCACCATGTACAGACCCTATCGTGCACGACACGCCGGAGCCATGATGTGCGCGTGGTGCGGAGCGTGTCCGACTCGCACGAGATCCGAGCAGCTGCCAGCGGCCGAGAACGGGACACCAGGACGGCCACATCGGAGGCCGCACCCTGCTCCGATTTCCCAATCAATCTCGACAGGACTATGAACAGCCAAGCGATTCGGTGCTTTGGTTCACTCTACATGTAAAGACACCAGAGCATCTGGAAAACAATCACCGAACTCTAGCCACCGGCAGTTCAGCCAACTCCGTTCATGAATTGATCGCGCCGACAGCCGCTGCGATTACTGCAAATCTGTGCGCCGTGCGGAGGTGATCAGACGTGCTCAGCGCGGCCAGGTGCTCGGCGCGTCTGGTCGGGCAGCGGCCGCGTGAGGCCACACCTCCGTGCCCCGGCGCTCGGCGGGAGTTGCCGGAGCGGTCGCTGCCGTCGCTGCCACCCTCTCACTCTCGACTGCCAGCCGCGGTGCAGCGGTGCTGGAGCCACGCGGCCGGACTGGCCAGGGTCATGCTCTCTGAGCAGGGAGGCCGGGACACGCACCTGGCGCGGATCGCCGGCAGGCGCGCCGGCGCCCGGCTCGGCAGTTCCGGCTCCACTTGCGGCAGCTCGCCGCCGGCCGGCCGCTGCGCCGCCGCCGGCCAGGCTCCGCTGCCGGACGGCGGCGTCAGTCGCAAGGCGCACAACACACCGGCCGAGCCCCTGTTCTGGACCAGCGGGCCCACACCGTCCCACCGCAACCTTTCGTCTACCGACCGCTCCGCTCCTCAGGCAGCTCAGGTCAGGCCACACCCAGATTGTACATGATGCCTCGACATACCCCTGGGCACAGACGGGCAGCGCGCCCCCGCAGGCTTGACCTCTGTCCCGGCGCTACCGCAACAGACAGGGGGGCAGGGGCAGGGGTATCCCTGGACGACAGGGGTAGAGGAGACATCGGCAGGCGTGGCGTGGTGCGGGCGGTAGGGGCCGGTACCTGGCCGGCAGCCGCTGTTCGGGCGGACTCTCGTCGCCCTCGCCCAGCCCCTTGAAAAGCTCGCTGATGCTGGGGGAGTCCAGGGCAGACCCGGCGGGGCCCTCGGCTGGCGGAGCACTGGCCGGCAGTAGCGACAAAGGTCAGAGCGGTCAGCGACCCGGCACCAGGTCACCAGGGCACGCGCCATTGCACTGGGAGGACTTCTGGCGCGTATTTCAGCTGCGATCAGTGCCGTGGCATGACCAGGATTGGAGCGCAGAGATCGGTGTTGTTCGTGACAACCAGTAGGCGTGGGGGACGGGGGCATCGACCGGCGCCGGAACGCTCGCCACATCATCGCGATGCCGAAACCAAGAGCCACAACCGCACACGCCTGGCGGCTGACGGCAAAGTCGACAGTCTGCTAGTGACGCCCACCAAACTGCCACAAAGCTACGTCTCGCATAGGACATTCTTATCCCCTCTCACGTTGGACACATTAGGTTTTTACGGATGGTTGCGCCGCGGTGCAGCGTCCGTCGTGTACCTCGGTGCCACGAGCAGCGGCGCCGGCAGGACCTTCGCTGAGTCGGCGGCGGCGGCCGGCGCCGGTCCCGGTTGCTCGCTGCGGACAGTCGGCGCCGCGTGACCCAGCGCCGTCCACAGCCTCCCGGCGACGGCGCGGCGCGGGCGCTCATGCCGGCTCGGCCGGTGGACGGCCGCCGCGCAGCTGGGCGCACGGCGGCCCACCGGAGCGGACGTGCCGCGCTCAGAGAGCGGCGGCCCACCGGAGCGGACGTGCCGCGCTCAGAAGGCGGTCGCCCACAGGAGCGGACGTGCCGCGCTCAGAAGGCGGTCGCCCACCGGAGCGGACGTGCCGCGCTCAGAAGGCGGCCGCCCACCGGAGCGGACGTGCCGCGCTCAGAGAGCGGCCGCACTGTTGTCCGGTGCTACACAGCAAATGGGAGGGGAAAAACACTGGCAGCAGACGTGTGAAGCTTCGGCCCAGCCTTAACTGACCTGGGGTCCTCCTCTAAGAACGGATTTCCTGGAGAGTCGTCCGCAGTGATGACGGCCCCCGAGGAGGGCATGCTTGCGGGCAACAGGGTCACCATCAGCATCGTCAGGATCAACGAGAAATGACGCAGTCGAACAGCTCACGCCAGCCACCGCTCAACTCAGGCGCACATCCGAGCCACTGCCGACGATCGAGCGACGGAGGCGGGCGAGTCAGCCCGACTAACCTGTCGGCGGTCGCCGTCTCCTCGATAAACGGGTTCCCCGGCGACTCGTCGGCCGTGAGCGGACTGGTGCCGTCTCTTGCGGAGGGCGGATACACGTTACGACGCGCGGTGCGTGAGCTCCGTGCTCCCGGTGCGGTCACACGGGCACCCAACACGCGACAGGCGGCCACGCGGCCGCGTACACCCAGAACAGCAGACAACCCAATGGCAGACAGAGGCCGGACCAGGTGCCACACGGTAGAAATGGCCTTGTCAGCCGGTGCGCTAATACAACGTCGTGTCACAGGTGCGGCCATGAACAGGCACACAGCTGACAGCAATCAGTGCGGTCCTGAGGACAACCAAAGTGGAATCGCAGAACCAAAGCAACTGTCCGAACATCGGAATACGAAAAGTACGAGGAGCCCGTCAGCCCGACGAGAGTTCACAACTAGTCACCCGGTGCAGCTGCAGTGGGAATCTGCTGCACCAAGAAACCAGAAAAGAAAGTTGGATGACCAAATATACGGTGCCGAGGCGGAACGCGAACAACCAATCAAACAAACAAACAAACAAAAAACAGAACTCGACGCCGTACCGATGCAAAAACGTGTCGTACTATTAACCGTTCACGAACACGTGACGGCACGAGCTCAGGTGGATGCAGTGCCGGGCACACAACTCGGGCCACCGCCTCCGCCCATGCAGCGGCGGCAGCGGCGCCGTCGACACCTGGCGCGCCGACCGGCCGCCCGGTAGACGCGCGCTACCTGGGCAGCGCGAACAGCTGCTTCTCTGGCTTCTCGCTCAGCCAACCGGGCGGCGGAGGACTGAAGAACTCGCGATGTAGCTGTCGCTCCGGCGGCGGCGGCGGCGGCGTGGCGGCCCGCGGTGGCGCAGTCTGCCAGCGCGTGACGAACGACGGCGACAGCTTGGGCGGGCCGGGCGGCGCGCCGGGCGGCCGTAGGCGCGAGCTGGATAACACGGGCCACACGGGCAGGCCGAGCCTGGAGGCGCGGCGCCAGGCCGGCACACCAACACAGTGGCAGGCGTCACGCGCGCCACGTTCAGCCGCTCGAGGCTGGAGCTGGGGCTGGGGCCGGAGCCGGGGCCGGGGCCGGGGCCGGGGCCGGGGCCGGGGCCGGGGCCGGGGCCGGGGCCGGGGCCGGGGCCGGGGCCGGGGCTGGAGCGGGGATTCGTATCACATCTTCTCACGGCCGGAAGGACTGCACCGGTCCCGGCTAGGCAGCTCGACTCCAAGCTGGTCTCTTCACACACGCAGGCACTGAGGGGGGTTCAGGGCACTGCTCCCGGGAACGAACCACGCGCACTGGGAGGGGTTCAGGGCACTGCCTACGGGAACGAGCCACGCGCACTGGGAGGGGTTCAGGGCACTGCTCGCGGGAACGAGCCACGCGCACTGGGAGGGGTTCAGGGCACTGCTCGCGGGAACGAGCCACGCGCACTGGGAGGGGTTCAGGGCACTGCTCGCGGGAACGAGCCACGCGCACTGGGAGGGGTTCAGGGCACTGCTCGCGGGAACGAGCCACGCGCACTGGGAGGGGTTCAGGGCACTGCTCGCGGGAACGAGCCACGCGCACTGGGAGGGATTCAGGGCACTGCTCGCGGGAACGAGCCACGCGCACTGGGAGGGGTTCAGGGCACTGCTCGCGGGAACGAGCCACGCGCACTGGGAGGGGTTCAGGGCACTGCTCGCGGGAACGAGCCGCGCGCACTGGGAGGGGTTCAGGGCACTGCTCGCGGGAAACGAGCCACGCGCACTGGGAGGGGTTCAGGGCACTGCTCGCGGGAACGATGCCACGCGCACTGGGAGGGGGTTTCAGGGCACTGCCTACGGGAACGAGCCACGCGCACTGGGAGGGATTCAGGGCACTGCCTACGGGAACGAGCCACGCGCACTGGGAGGGGTTCAGGGCACTGCTCACGGGAACGAGCCACGCGCACTGGGAGGGGTTCAGGGCACTGCCTACGGGAACGAGCCACGCGCACTGGGATGGGTTCAGGGGACTGCCTACGGGAACGAGCCACGCGCACTGGGAGGGGTTCAGGGCACTGCCTACGGGAACGAGCCACGCGCACTGGGAGGGGTTCAGGGCACTGCCTACGGGAACGAGCCACGCGCACTGGGAGGGGTTCAGGGCACTGCCTACGGGAACGAGCCACGCGCACTGGGAGGGATTCAGGGCACTGCCTACGGGAACGAGCCACGCGCACTGGAGGGGTTCAGGGCACTGCTACGGGAACGAGCCACGCGCACTGGGATGGTTCAGGGGACTGCTCGCGGGAATGAGCCACGCGCACTGGGGGGGGGGGGGGGGGGGGGGGGGGTGGGTTCTCAGGGCACTGCTCACGAGAGCGAGTCACACTGCTTGCAGCACAATCCTCAGTGCTCATTCCAAAGTGCAGTCTTCAGCCTACTTTTGCACGGCATTATGAGTCATTTCTGACGTAGCGTGGCGTAATTTTTGCTTGCCAACGGATTTTCATGTCAGTGGGTTTCTCTAGCCTGGCGGGGTATAGGTGCGAGTGGTGTCATGAATTAAGAAGGTAAGTTTACAGCACAGCATAACATAACAAGGCTAGAAAGTCATCTGCTTAGGAGGGCATCACTGGTGCACACTGCACGTTACTCGCTAAGTAGGACATGAACTAAAATACCGACTGCAGCTGAAATTCTACGAGATGTTTGTGGAAGAGAGTTGTGCGCCCAGATACGTGCCACCGCATGCTATCCCCGGCTGCAGCCATGCGCTGCTTCCGGCGCCTGTGCTGGAGCCGACAGGGCGCGCTGCGAGGCCAGCCTGGACTGCCGACTGTGCGGCGGTCCCCAGCACCGGTCCAGTCGGGGGGCGGGAGACAGGTCAGCGCCGGCCGTGCGGGCAGCTCATGCAGCGAGCCGGACGGCCCACTCACCCGTCGCTGAAGGCGCCGCTCCACTCCTTCTCGCCCCACGGGTTCCGCAGGCGCACCATGTAGATCTTCTCGCGGCCCCTGCCGGGCGGCGCGGCCACACGGCACCCGTTAGCGGTCCACACCGAGCCTCCGGACGGCCGCCACGCGCCCCCCACAGATAGACGGTCAGGTCAGGAGCGGAAGGTGCTGGCTACAGTCTTTTGTAGCAGCCGTGCAGCTGGCAACAGTCTTTTATAGCAGCCGTGCAGCTGTTGCCTTCCAGAGAAATATACACAAGACTGGCCGTCCAAACGTAGCTCGCCAGCCGCTTCACAGGAGAGACGAGCACATCGCTCATGCACATGTACATAACCCACGACTACGTTCCACTGTGAACTAGGGCAGGGACCCACCCGTCCTGGTCCAAATTCAAGCAAATAGGCTGTCACGATGGTCGGCGCCGCCCAGTTCTCACGTGAAGAAGTTGACGAGTGTGGTGTTGCCGATGGGGACCTTCTTGATGGCGGTGATTCCGTAGGCGTGGCCCTTGACCAGGCCCATCTCGGTACGCTGCTCGACCTCCTCTCGGTTGCGCGCCTGCGGCAGGCAGAGTGCGTGCCGTACAGACCGGGGCGCCATCGGTCCCGTCCAGCCCCTTACACTGCAAATATTCCGGGGGCGGCGGACTGTCATTCAGGCCCGTCAACGAGCATAGCCCGCATCAGCGGCTGCTGTCCGGTCTATGTTCACCCCACGTACCGCTGTATGCCAGCGTGCCACCCGGGCGGCAGTGGCGGGCGCCCTCGATCTGCCAGCCCCTCGCCTGTCGGTGGCACGCGGGGCCTTTTCGTGTCGCGCGGCCTCATCCTGGAGCCGCCTGCCGCCGACCATCACCGCCTCTAGCACTCAAAATGAGTTTCGCACCAGGCCAGAGGATTTCGACGGTCCCGTTGTGTAATCATTGGTTGCTTGCCGTTGTGTAACATGTGCTGGCGATCCGGGTTTGGATTAATAATTTTGTTTTTGACGAAGAGGTGTGAGGTTCTGGATGATTTATAACATGCGAATGTGGTCGCGTTGTTGTCATGCTTGAACATTGCATTCATGCTACTACTGGAATTGTACGGAATCAAACAATAAGCCACTCGTTGGAATGATTTGCCGATACAATGAACCAAGGAACCAAGGTTTATGGCGCTGTTTGCAAGATGACGGTGAATATTTTCTCTGCCTTTTCAAAAATCCTGGTTCAAGAGCAGTGTGCTGGCATGATATCTTGCCAGCTTCCACCAAGCCAGTGTGTCCATAACACGTTTGCCAGCAGCTTGTCTGCTCTGCTGCCACCGTGCTGGTCGCACCACTACAGATGGTGATACCCGATGCGCACGCCACTACGGGAGGCACTGGTATGGCGACCACAAACATCCGGCGAGACCAGTCCGGTCAGGCAGGCCGGGCCAATGTCGCCTGCCTGGCACACGCACACGCACACGCACACGCACACGCACACGCACACGCACGCGCACGCGCACGCGCACGCGCACACGCACGCGCATGCGCACACGCACCAGCTGTGGCCTGCGCAACCCAATACACCGCGGTGCGAAATCACCAATCACTTCCCGACGCTGAAGGAATAAACGAAATACAACGCTCAAAACCCGCCCAAAGCACCCGTGCTGTTTTGAAACCCATGCAGTCCGCATGCGACACCCGCCACGTCGTCATGATCCTTCCCTGGCTGGGCGTCACGGCAGGGGCACGTATCGCGACAGGCGGGGGCACGTACAGCGACAGGTGGGGACACGTGCCGCGACAAGCGGGGGCACGTGCCGCGACAAGCGGGGGCACGTACCGCAACAGCAGCGCACATCAACGCATAGTCGTCCATTTCGCGGCGCAGCTGCTTGAAGAGCTGCGTCTTCTTGGCCTCGTCGGAGCGGTAGCCGCCCTCCACCAGGTCAATGGTGACGGACACACCTGAGGTGAAGTCCACGAGCGCATCGCACAGGTTTCCGCCGTCCAGCGACTCGTATGAGGTGTTGATCCTGCCGCAGTAGAGCGGGTCAAGGGACGCTCAGTCACCCGTAGGTGCTGCTCTTGTTGCTGGACAGGACGGGCGGCAAGCATTCCCGAGACTCGTTTGGTGTGTCCATAATGCTGAAGGACACCAGAGGTCAACGCCGCCCAGCAGCTAGTTTTGCTCCAGCCGCGGGGCAGGAAGCGGTGCGGTTAGCAACATGAAGGATTAAGGACGGCAGTCAGAGGCCAACCACGGAGTGAAGACCGCGAGTCCGGAGTGTAGGCATTTGGGTGTGGGAGTAAGTAAACCTTACACTTTTTAGTTTAAATCCCTTATTTTAACCGGTTCAAGTTGTCTTCGGCAGTCAACAGGAAAGGTTCAATGTTTTCAATGTCACGTCAAGTGATTTCTCGTTTTACGTGAGACCACTAAAACACAACGTATCGTTTGGCCCTTCCCCGCCCCCCCCCCCCCCCCCCCCCCCCCCCCCCCCCCCCCCCCCCCCCCCCCCCCCCCCCCCCCCCCCCCCCCCCCCCCCCCCCCCCCCCCCCCCCCCCCCCCCCCCCCCCCCCCCCCCCCCCCCCCCCCCCCCCCCCCCCCCCCCCCCCCCCCCCCCCCCCCCCCCCCCCCCCCCCCCCCCCCCCCCCCCCCCCCCCCCCCCCCCCCCCCCCCCCCCCCCCCCCCCCCCCCCCCCCCCCCCCCACCTGACCAACTCGAGTATTTTGCTAACCGACTGCTCTACCAGCAGAGGCGGCCCTGCCCATATGATGCCGCCTTGCAAATTTCCTGAAACAATCTATTCCCTGTAAATAGTCCCGACAGCTCAGAAGTGCTCTGTGGCTTTCACGAAGTCTTTTACGCGAAGTGTGTCATTATCATCTTTACCCCTTCACTGCGATGATTGAAGGTTTCGCGGGAAAACAGCCGTGCGTGGAAATAAGCAGGGCAACGACTTAGCACGTGCATTACTGCTCCTGTTCTGCAGCGTGTTTAGACCCCCCCCCCCCCCCCCCTCCCGCCGCCGCCCCCCCCCCAAACACCGCACTATGCTCCTCCCTTCGGTCATCTCAATTCAGCCTCTGCACCTCCAGCCCGGCGTGAGCTCGAAGCCTTGACCACTCGGCCACTTAAAACGGCCGACTAATACTGCATGAAACGCCTAATATCTAACTGAACCACGTCCATTAATTCCTGGCCCTCCAGAACCCATGGAGCGTAGCAAGTGCGTGGCAAGCGCCTCTACTGCAGCGATATCAAGAAACCGTGCCCATGGAGACCGGACACAAACACGCGCCGGGCAAAGGTCGCGCGGAACGCTTAATGGGTACGACGAACCGAAACAGTGCGGCCACACCGACTGATCGATACACTCGCGCCGTAAATGGTAGGGTGGGTAACGGGGGTAGGTAACAGGAATCGTGGGTGGTGGGTAATGCACGGCGTCCACAAACACACCACTACGATTCGGAAAATACGTGAAGCCGACCTCGCGTGCATCCACGCAGACACAGACAGCGGCCATGCAAACACAGCCATATCCGTGTTTGTATGAGGCGATAGGTCCCTGTCGGTCAGGCGGCGGCAGTTCGACACGGGCCGGTTCGGTGGCCGGCGACGGCGGCGAGCCGGCAGCTCACTTGGCGTAGGCCTTCTCGAGCAGGGCGGACCAGAACTCGCTGCGCTCCCGACTGTGCGTGTAGATCAGCTGGCCG